TTCTGAGTCAAAGCTTGGAAACAGTTGAGATCCCCACCCCATAACCATACATAAAATTGCTGGGCATGAAAAATCTAATATAGCTATGCTACAAGGATTGGCCTTGGGGTCTGGCATATTCCCTTGATCTCATTTGGAGAATAGTTTGCCATGATTGCTTAGGTATCCAGGTGAGCGATACAGGCCCTCTGGGCCTCTTGTTTAATTGCATGAGTGGTTTTATGTTTGCTTCACAAACGAGTCATGAGTTGGTTATCCATGAGCAGACAAGTTATGTACTCCTTTGTAGGTGCACTGTTTTATGTACGAAGTTTTGTAAGCCCTGTCAATATACAAAACTTTGTAGACCCGACCTGTCTATGTATACATGTTTGTAGACTCTTAGCTATACAGATCGATCTGTATAGGCCCAGTGTCGTGTTCATATCTGGGTACATTTTTTAGGCCCTGTTGGTAGCTATGAAGTGTATATACGTATCTTTGTACGCCCTGAAAATGTACATAAATTGAAAATTTCCTGTAAAAAACATTGTAGGCCCTGTTTATGTATATAGATCAGAACCTGTTTTTATCCTATAGCAAATATTAAAAATATAATAAAGGAAAAATCACTGTACATAACAATTAACCCACTACAGCACAAGACCGACTTCCGTAATCGTCGATATCGACGGAGGAAGACATATAGATGAAGATAAAGATATATGTTTGTAGGCCCTGTTTTTGTAATTAGCCAAAATTGTAGGCTATGTGTTTACAGTCCATGGTAGGTCCTGTTTATATGCACTTGCAGGCCCATGGCCAGGCCCAGTTAAATTATGTATAAATCTTAATACGTCCTGTCTATTTTTACACTTTTATCATCCCTAGCTGTCAATGAAGACTCCAATTTCTATATACAGTCTGTTGTGAGTTTTCTCAATGTGCTTGTAATGTTTGGCCCTGTATGTATACTATGTATCTTTTGTCAGTTTCATCAATGTGCTTATATTTGTAGAGCCTGTCCTATTAAGTAGCTGTTAAAGACCCTGTTTATGTACAGTAAAATACCTTAATAGGCCCAGTATTATGTACAGAAAAATACCTTAATAGGCCCTGTATTATGTACAGTAAAATACCTTAATAGGCCCTGTATTATGTACATTAAAATACCTTAATAGGCCCTGTATAATGTACAGTAAAATACCTGAATAGGCCCTGTATTATGATGTTTACACATTTATCAGCTTTGTCCATGAGGACTCTAATATCTATATGCAGTCTGTTGTAAGTTTCATCTATGCACTTGTATTCATAGGCCTTAAATTGTATATGTATCTATTTAAGTGTCATTTATAATGCACTGGTATTTGTTGGCCCTGTATATGTATATATGGCATTGTAGTTGACCCTGTTTATGTGTTCTGTTGTTCCAGAGATGGCTGTGAGGTCGCTGTCTTATATTTCCGTACTGGATACACCCCAGAGGACTACAGATCTGATAAGGTACAAATTGTGTGTATGAAAATAACAAAATGCCCAAAATGAGACCATTCGAAAATAAACTGATTATCATAGAGTCTTATTTATATAGGCAAAATTAATGAAACAATTTGTTTTTGTTACAGTTACAGAGTACTATACTATTATATTCCAATGGCAATGCATATAGACAGAGGGAATTGTGTTATGAGTCTTAAGTTAATATGTAACACCCTATGGTTTGATATCCAATATTGTGACTTGGTCGATCGTCGGCGACCAGATAGCTCAATTGGTAGAGCATCCGTCTAGAGTTGGGAGGGTCCCCGGTCCGAACCCTGGTCTAGCCGTGCACTTTTCCTCTCCTATTACAGTATCACCGCTCTGACAGTGACTCGATCTGCTGTTTGGAGCTAAGTCCCTTTTTGTGCAGTTTCAGCTTTAAAAAAAGGGTGAAAAATATCCATTTATAGGATTTTGAATTTATATCTGGTCATTAACATTATTTCAAAGAATTAATCGCTGATATTTTCTAATAATGAGCTCTTGATTTTAGTAAATTATCGATATATTTTTTAAACCCAGATCTACAAGTATTATTTTAGGATATCTTTGACACGATGACAAAATGAGACTTAAAACAAGACTTCATATAATTATAATATCATCTCTAAACACTTAAGGGTCAGTACATACGTTTAAAACTAAAGTGACAAGACATTTTTAGTTTGGTAATTAAAGGCTAAGTTTGTTTAGAAGACATAAACAGGAATTGAAAACTTTATTTACAAGCTTTCGTAAACATCTTTTTCCTTTGTCAAGCAAGGAGTGTAAATGACGGGTAGGTGTCTCGACTCTTAACCGCTGGAAACAACTCACAAAGCCACAGTGTGCCGAATCAGTAAAGTCAGTTATCAAAAATTATACAAAAAAAATGCCCAATTGTACTCTAATACTGCAGGCAGTCAGGGGGATGGGTAACATGTTTACCTTATTGGTTATTTTAGTTTGACCTTGTAATATTGTTGTCTGAACTCTTCCGACCAGGATTGGGACACTCGACTGATGATCGAGCGGTCAAAGGCCATCAAATGTCCAAGCGTCCAATATCAGCTGGCCGGGACAAAGAAGGTCCAGCAGGAGCTTTGTTGTCCTGGAGCCGTGGAGAGGTTTATTAAAGATGGTGACGTAGCTCGAGACATCAGGGAAACGTTTGCCTATCAGTACAGTCTGGACATGGTAAAAAGTCATGATCATGATACTTGCTTATTCTCCTGAATCTGTGATTTTGTTTTACATTTCTGACTTAAATAAATTGTTTCATTGGTACCAACATTCATGTAGGGACCTGGAAAATATTGAAAAAATGTTAAGCCTTGCTCTCACAAGCATTGCTGTCACCCTAGGAATTTCTTGGGGCCAAAGTCTTTCCCGGAGGGGGCGTGTGTCACTCAGGTAAAATGCTAGCTGATTCCTACCGCTTTGGCAGAGGAGAATTTCTCGTAAACTCATTCCATAGATTGCAGACCAATAGACAAGAGCTTTTAGGTTGGAATCCAAGCAAAGGCATTGAAAAATAATAACCTCTGTTACAGATATTTTTGAAAAATAAAAGAAAGGTTTTGCAATTTATATGGCTATCAGTTCAAGGGAGAGTACTCCTACTATAGAAAATAATTTGAGAAATTTGAATTTCATTTTCAAGATATCACAAATTTTTTTTGTAGGGTGAAGATGGTGATAAGGCTATAGAGAAGGCCTCTGCTGACCCTCAGAACTATGTCCTTAAACCCAACAGGGAAGGTGGAGGTAAGGTCAAGGTCCCTAGGGTTCGCCTTCATTAATTTGTTAATGGGTTCCTGCATTAAGGATCCCTGTACCACTGCCAAAAAATGATTTTTTTCTGATCAGACTGTAGCTTCAATAAATCATTTCTGAAAAGAAATCATATGTTGCGTAATGTTTGGGAAAATAAATTAATTATATAGAGAAAATGAATGAAAATAACAGCTTGTACAATGGTCTGAGTATTAAGATGCAAATTAACCAGAATGGGATTCGAACCCTGAACCTCTGATCATTATACTGTCGCTCTTACCATCTGAGCTACCTGGGCAACGGTAGTACCCCAGATTTAATTTGTGTGATTATCATATACAGCACTTCAAACTGATGTGAACTTACATAGATTTGGTTTAAAAAAGTCAAATAGAAAAGAAATTGCTAAAACCCTTCATTTCACTATTATGGTAAAGTGAAGTCCCCCTGCCCCACCCTAAATTTCTTTAACCCCGGGTTAATTTTTATTATTTATCTATATATAGCACAACACATTGAAGTAAACTAAAAGAAAATAAATGCAAAAAAATGGTCAGAATTGATGGTAGCCTTCATTTCACCATGTTCATATGACCATAATGGCCTTCATAATACCATACTACACTGGGCTCAGTCGCATGGAACAGTTATATAAAAAATGCAATTTTGGAGAGGTTACTTTATGACTGAAAAACTACTGTGGATTCCCTAAAGTGTTTTGCCTGCAGTTGACGGGGATCTTAAACTGTACATTGGGTCTGGAAAGGAATTATGTTTGTAATTGCCTTTCTCAGATAATAATCAGAATTATATATGTTTATGTAAAGTGAAGAGTTGTCATGTTCAACTGATCAACAAAAGTTTGATAACAAAAATAACACAAAGAAAGAAATTATTTTCATTCAACATAGATGTGATGGTGTCACCAGTATCGCAGCCTGTACAAGTTAACTCCCTTTGTGGGAGAATTACAAAAAGTATGATATGTATGAAAATGATTTTTTTGCATAACTTCATCTTTCAAAGTTGATAGTTTCTTACATTACCATGTCAAATAATAGGTTCACAATGAAGTTGTGTTTAGAATGCTCCAAAGTAAGATAAAAATATTAAGCTTGAGAAAAATAGGAAAGATTTTTTAAAGTCTGCAACTTCCAAATTTATCATTAAGCAATTTTTTGCTTTTCATTTTTTAGCCATATAAATTCTCAGGACCATGATATGACATGCATACTTCAATCCATATGTCGTCTCTGAAATGAAAAAGATATATTTTTGTAACCAAAAAAAATTATGAATTTGCAAAATCATGAACCAAATAAATGTAACATTAGTTTGAATCATTTACAGGAAACAATATATATGGCGAGGATATCAAACCTTTTCTTACCAAAATAAAGGACTCCAAGGAAAGGGCAGGCTATATACTAATGGAGAGAGTCCGACCATGGCCACAGACAAATTATCTTCTCAAGGTCGGACTGGAAGTCAGCCTCCGAAATATTGTCAATGAAATTGGTATTTACGGCGTTTATCTTGGGTAAGTAGAATTGTTTTTCATTTTGTTTCCTATTAACAATAATTAATGATTTTAATCTTCTGAACCCCATTCTCCTTATTTTAGAGCATATTAAAATTCAAGCATATCTTTAACAAAAATAGACAGTTTATTTTTAATATGTCTATTCATACCAGCATTGCTACATATACCTCACATTATAAAAAAACATTTCTAAATATATAAACATAAAAAATCTGAAATCAGTTTTTTGTTTTTTTTGGTTAGTTAATTGTCACTGTACAAGACCTGTCTATTACAGAACTGGGGACAAAGAGATATACAACAGTTTAGCTGGTCACTTGGTCCGGACAAAGACGGTAGACTCGGATGAAGGTGGACTTATGGTCGGAATTTCCTGTCTGGACACGCCATTCCTTATAGACTGATTATTTTAGACACTAAAATTACAGAGGAGTCTCACTAATATTAATCCTACCATCTTGGTTCCATAATCAATGAGGCTGGATTCTGAAACATCTTTAAATGTACAGAGCAGCTTTAAAATAATTATTAAAGGAAATTCTAAAAGACTGACTGGATACATAATTTATGTGGTACTGATTAACTCATTCACTTCTAAGGACACATTTGAACTCTTTCAAATCTAAAGGTGGAACGCTCATTATGAAATTTAAGGGGTGAATGAGTTAACTTCACATTACTTACTTTGAATTGAATAGATAAATTCACAGAGAGATATATTAAACTGTTATAAGATCTGAGAGTGAGTGAATTATCGTCTGTGAGACAGTATTCATGATTTCATGAATATTCATAAACAATTCATGAATATTCAATTCATCAATACAGATGGTTTGGAGTTCATGAATATAATCATAGTTGGATTATGAATAATTATTCATGAACACTCATCAAAAAACTCTTTTTAAAGTTGTATAGCAAATATCATGAACTTGGTAGTCTCGTTCAACCAGACGCTTGATCACTTGTAATTCAAGAGTCTGGTCAAACGCAGTACTTTAGAATTACCACCACCAGAGGGCAGTGTTTTTACTTTCGTTTCCAGACGCTATGTCAACGCCATTAGAACATAAATTGAATGAAAAAACTTACCTGTACATGCATTCCTGAAGTATCCGTGTATTCACTATTATCGAGAACAATTTAAGAAAATGTCAATTCTCCAGAATAATGCCATATATTTCCACTGAATAAATCAAAACTGAGCACAAAGCCAACAAGGCTGACTGAGGTTGGAAAAAAGCAGGCAAAGCAAGTAAGATGTTACCTGAACACCATCCAAAACACTACAGGTTCTCACTCGGGTAATCTGGCTTGACTTGTATCGATAGCCTTGTTAGCTTCATGAATTATTGTAAAATATCCAATGAAAATACATGAAATCATTCTTGAGATTTGAATCATTTTCATACATTTTTCTCGATAATAGTGAAAACACGAATTCTAAAGGAATGCATGTACAGGTACGTTTTTTCATGAATTAAAATATTCATTGTAATTTTGCACCACTCAAATTCTTACTTGAAAAGGGTGTGTCTTACGTAACTTTGACCAATGAAATCATTAACCAGAATTCTGGTAAGCCTCGTTATGACTTCACAAAACAATAGCACTGGGTTTGACCAGACTCTCTGTTTGGCGTAGCTTGCGCAGTCAACAAGAGTCTGGTTGAACGAGGGAATGAACTTGGATGAATTTCTTGAATAAGTTATGATGCATTATGGGTAACTCACAGTATGTCGGTTTCCTGTTGCCAGTATTTATTTGTTGTAGATAGTGTAATGTTAACTCAATAATTTTACAGCTGAATGTTTGGATTATGTTGCGGGCATTGAAATCAAATAAGCAGCACAATAGGTCATTAATAGATTATTTATTGTTTTTCATTCATTTTTAAATTGTTTAACAAATATATTGCTTTGATTCATCAGATGTAAACAGATTTCATAATTCATAATCAAAATAATATTGATATCATACAAATTGTTTGTTGAGTTAAAGTACGTCTTAAAGTGCAATATTTTAAGAACATTTTAATTCTAAACATTTCGATATTTTATGAGTTCATGAGTTCAAAATAAACCTAGATTTAAATATTGATATTTTTTTGGACTTTTTCAAGTTGGGCATTTTTAGGTATTATTTAGTGAAAATGTAACTTGATATCAATTCCATGTCCATTTTACCAGCTGAATGGGTTCAGAGAGTTTAAAGTACCTAGCAATATAGTTGGTGACACCTGGACGTGATTTCATTGGTCAATCTTTCATGAAGTATTAAGGTTACAGTGCTTTGCTTCATCATCTCTCAATGTGACGTCATGATTCATGGTAATTGTTTCCTCATTGGAAATAGTCATAATGTATTTCCAAGGGAATCATATTGTTATATAAATATATAATATATCAACTTTATTTATTCTACAACAATTATGAAACAAGTTATTTCAACTTAAATTAATCACTCTTGTTGGGCCGGATGTCTGTCTAGCTCAGCGCACGGGGGTCTTTATGGGAGGAAACCGGAGTACTCGGAGAAAATCCATGTGGTCGGCAGGTGACCACATACCGTTTCAATTGAATCCCGGCCGACTTGGTGAAAGGCATGTGCACTATATCCACTGTGCCACCCGACTACCCAGTCATATGGTTTTTCCAGATAGAATGTGAAGTTTATGGGAGAAAACGTTCCCCAAACTTTAGATGGCTGTTTTTTCCTGTCTATCTACATTATTTTGTAGCTCATTTAAGTTCATTTGAGAAAAGACTCTTGGTAAACCTTCTGTCTTTAAAAAAAAATGAAAAAACTTAAGTTAGATAGACATGATAATCACTCATTGCATGTTGGGAAACATCTATGTAAACACGATTGACCAGGGCCATTTTCGTTTATCGATAAACTTTGTGTCTTTATGAAGTTAGAAAATTAACTTACTCAAGGTGTCGGTTGACACATCACACAGTTGCATACCATTATACATTTTTTGAAGATGCATTTGAATTATTAAATAATATTGCTTCACCTTAAGATATGTTTCCCCATATCTACAAGCTGTATAGACATACAGTATGGTGCTTCAGCAGCTAGTCTACTTACTTCACTACATGTAGTATTCCTTAAGGATATATGCTACAGCTAATTCCCATTTTCTTGTAAGAGTTATCTCCCATAATCAGCTTTAATTACTATTTTGTTTCCAAGAATAAAACTAATGTAATTATTGCCATGATGTCTCCTGACCTGGCAATATGGCATAACATACTGCAAATATAGTTGCTTAATGCTTATGTTCTTGTGTTAAACTTTTAATCTGAATTTTTGATTCAGAACTCTTTGTGATAGAGATCCTTGTCAATGAAAGGTATCCTAACTTCCTTTAAATGTTAGATATAGTTTCCTTTAGATTTTAGTTACAGTTCATAAGAAAGGTTTCATTTTTTTTCAACATTAAGGATACTTGTACTGTGCAGGCAAATCACTGGAGAGTTCCACTGTACTTTTTCGTACGTACAGTTATCTCCTCTGAATTACATTTTGGCGCTAACTGCAGTTGTATTGGGCCAGGGAACTACCATTGATCATGTAGCTCAGTTGTTTTGAGCGTTGTGATGGGAGGTTCGGGGTTCAAATCTCAGTATGTCCCCATTGTATTTTTACCCTCAGAACACTGTTGTTTATATTTTTTAAAGATTATTTGTTGATAAAAGCTACATAAGGTTTGGATTTCTTTTCAGACATAATTAACTTAAGCTGTTTTCAAGGTGATAAAAACGTTGCTAATCCATCGCTACAGGTTTTGGAGGTAGCATAGATATCCTTCAGATATTTGTTGCAGTTTATACGCTTTAAAAAAAGGTTGCTTCTAAATTCAACATTAAATTTTGTACATGCAGAGACATATATGTAGTACATATGTATGTAGGTCTCTGGTATATGTAGTACATATGTATGTAGGTCTCTTGAATATGTAGTACACATGTATGTAGGTCTCTGGTGTATGTAGTACATATGTATGTAGGTTTCTGGTATATGTAGTACATATGTATGTAGGTCTCTTGTATATGTAGTACATATGTATGTAGGTCTCTGGTATATGTAGTACATATGTATATAGGTCTCTGGTATATGCAGTACATATGTATATAGGTCTCTGGTATATGTACGTTTTTTTGTCAACAGCATTCCAATGTAATCAATCTTATCAAATCTAAATATATATTCATTAATAACAATGCTTATGAAACAAGATCTACTTGTATTGATGATGTTATCATATATTTTTGTAATATTGTGACATTGTGTTGTTACACTATCCTTGTTGTTTACATTGTTACTTTGTAACCATGTGGTCACATTGTCATTGTGTTGTTACACTATCCTTGTTGTTTACATTGTTACTTTGTAACCATGTGGTCACATTGTCATTGTGTTGTTGCACTATCCTTGTTGTTTACATTGCTACTTTGTAACCATGTGGTCACATTGTCATTGTGTTGTTACACTATCCTTGTTGTTCACACTGTTACTTTGTTGCCATGCGAACATTGTTGTTGTTATTGTCACCTTGTTGTAACTTCAGCATTAATGTTGTCATTGTCATGGTCTGTTCTGTTACTGAAATTGGCAATTGTTGTCATACCGTTGGGAACTTGTCAGTCGTTTTAAAGTTGTCAAATTGTTTTAACACACTAACTTTGTCATGGTGTGGTTACCTAAATACTTTATGCCGTGAATTTTTTGCTACTATTTAAATTTTCGTCTTTATTTTGTTCCCCTCATTTTAAAATTGTCATATCGTTTTTCCACAATAAGTTTGTCATGGTGTGGTTACAAACCTACTTTCTGCCGCTGCTGTTTTAAACATTTGCCTTTATTTTGCCCTCTGTGATGAGGGCGAATTTATGAAAACAGGGACTATATAAGTACATGTAAACAGCAAACCCTAAAAGTAAAATATATTCTATGGGCGAAATTAACTCTGGGCAAAGGACTGCGGTGGCCAAGAGGTTAATGCGTCTGACAATCTGCTATCACTAGCTCTCCACCACTGGGTCGCAGGTTCCAGGCCTACGTGGGGCAGTCACCAGGTACTGGCCATAAGTCAGTGGTTTTTCTCCAGGAGTTCCAGATTTCCTCCACCACCAAAACCTGGCACATCCTTAAATGACCATAGCTGTTAATAGGACGTAAAACACAAACAAACCAAACATGGATTTTACCAATGAGAGGTGAATATTTGAGTGGGTGAACGTTTTTGAGTATACAGTTTATTAGCAGTGTTGTCACATTGTCATTGTCGTATCAGCAGGTTTTTGTTGTCACATTGTACAGTGACCTTCTTTTTTTTAATTCTTAACATATGTTATCACATTGTCACTGTGTTGTTACTTTGTCAGAATATTGTCATATTAATAATTTTGTCAAATTGTCCCTGATAGTGAGCATTGTCAGCAATTTTATGTCCAATAATAAGTATTTCATATCTCAAATATTTTATTATAGAATTTTATAATGCTTGGACTCACTTTTCCTTGCAAAATGTTCTTTTTGAACAGTTTGTTTACTTTACAAGTGATGTTTTCCATGTGTGCTAGTATGTACTCCATCAGTATTCCTATGAAACTTTTTTATTCTAATTAAGTATTTAGAGTCTCATCACCTTTCTAATTTATCCATATGCTCTGAAAAAAGTTATTTCACTGTTAAGTACATGTTATTATTTGTATACTCACACAAAATCAGTTAATTAAACTTTGTTTTAAAACAAATAACAATAGGTGATATCAGCTTATGTTAATCACTGTTTTTTGGGCCAAGTGGTAGGGTGAAGTGGGTCTTAATCAGTTTAAGGTGAAGGGTCTATTGCAATGAAAATTATTAACAAGAATTAATTAATATAAACAAAGGGTATAGGAGTGTGTTTGTCAAAAAGAAAATGTTCATGAATATATTTCCTTCTTATATATAGCCCTTTGCTATATTCCGTCTTTGCGTATTACAGAGTTATCTTCTTTTGGGAGCAGGTATTGATTGTTACTTCATTGGTTTGTGCGAGAACATTACGTCGTTTTCTCAAAAATTGATGACGTTACTCTCACAAACAAGTGAGTAACAATCAATCCCTGCTCCCAAGAGAAGATAACTCTGC